TACTTGTGAAAGAAGTTATTGAGGTTCCTTCTCCTTCGTTTGATTGATTTACAGCTACAGCAGCCACTATAATCTCGTACTGGACCCCAGGGATTAACTGGTTGATGGTAAAATAGGTTTCAGTGGTGGTGGTATTAATGGTGTCTCCTCTTGCAGTCCACTGAACTGTGTAAGAGCTAGCATTGCCATCAGGTTCAGTCCAATTCAGAGACACGGACGATGTTGTGGCATCGATGACGGAGAGATTCCTGACCACAGCCGGTTCTGTGAATGCAAGAAAACACAAGATGAGGGGAATACATACAATACAACGGGTTGTTTACAGCTTTCCAGCATGTTCTTACATTACATTTACCAATGGGAATGTGTAAATAGGAAACCTCTTGAGCAACTTTTATCACAACTGTGCATGTTTAATTTGGTAATGTTAAATAGGGTTAGCGTGGCTTACTTGTGAATGTGGAGAACGTGTGAGGGTGTCCTTCTGTCTTATTGTCTCCGGCGACGGCAATGACTGAGATTGTGTAGCTCGTGCCAGGGATTAGGTCTGAGAGCACGGCAAAGGTTTTCTTGGTGGTAACGGTCATGAGCGCTCCACCATTATGCCACTCCAACCTGTACTTGAACACCTCACCCGGAGGTGGGGTCCAGTTCAGAGAGATGGAGGAGGTGCTTGTGGACACAGTAGGTTCCCCAATTTCACCAGGTTCTAAAGCAAAGAGGAGGAGAGGAGAGGACCATTCTCTATCAGTAAAATGTGTATCACTGGTGTAACTGAGACGTTTAAAAAAAAAATCACCAAACTTTGATAACAGTTATTGTATTAAATGTGATGTTTTTGTTTTCTCATTCTCTTTCTGGTGATGTAATGATTTCCCTCTCAGTAGACAGTGTCTGAAGTAAGGATGAGGCACCAAGTAGACTACGAGCACTGCCATTAACAAAAGTGTGATCCATCATCTTACTTGTATGGTGAAAAATCTCAGAAACTTCACTTTCTGTTTTGTTGTCTCCAGCCACTGCTATGACAGTAAAACGGTAACGCACTCCAGCAGTCAGCTCAGTGACGTTAATTTTTGTTTCAAACACACTGACATTCCAGTTAGCTGTTCCATTAGTCCACTGTACTCTATAGAAAGAGCTGTTTCCCTCTGGTTTAGTCCACATCACAGATATAGAGGATGTCGTGATATTAGCGACAGTGATATTTCTGACTACTTCAGGCTCTGTGAGCGCAGGATGAACACAAGATGAGGGAGAAAAACAAACAAATTTAGAGAGACAATGAAAACCACTGTCTTCGAATAAAATCTGTACGACTGTGTAATATATAGAGATAGATGCAAAGAAAAAAACAATGGCAGCAGAATGTTTTTCTTACATGACAAAGTGCAGAAATACCACTACAAAGTAAAAGCACAATGTCCTCATACTTTCAACTCCCCTCTCATATGGACCATCTTACAATGTTAGCCAAAACTAAACGTGTACTTACTTGTATACAGAGAAACATTTGCTTTCTCTCCTTCAGTAAGGTTATCAGCTGCCACTGCAGTGACCACTATAGTGAACTTGACCCCAGGAGTCAGGCCAGTGATCATCGTAGATGTTGCAGTCGTCTCATTAAGTTCTCCATCAGTCCACTGTACTCTATAGAAAGAGCTGGTTCCCTCTGGTTTAGTCCACGCCACAGATATAGAGGATGTTGTGACATCAGTGACAGTGGGGTTTCTGACTACTTCAGGCTCTGTGAGCGAGAGAGAAGTTTGTGGGGAAAGGAATTCATTTTTCACTCATCATTTGTGTTGCACAGTATTATCATCTTTGTATTTGATATGGCATTATAAAAGTTATTGTTGTAGACGTGGTTGTAGTCCGGAATGTAAGTGACTGAACAACAACAAAAAAGCACACTTACTCGTGGTGGCCACTGTGCAGCAGTTCAAACACTTAAGGAAGACTTCATAGCTTGCTCCAGGAATCAAACCAGTGATCGAACCAACTCCAGAGACATTGTTCCCAATGGAGATGTTGCAGTTTGGTCTGGATTCAAATGTTGTTGTTGTTGTTGTTGTTGTTGTTGTTGTTGTTGTTGTGTTTATTATTTCATTGCTGCCACATTCACCAACTACATTCAGAAGAAGAAGAAGACCAACAATAAGAAATAAGCACAAATATTTTAAAATAGCTACATTTCTGCAGACATATTGATAGAAATTATGTAATTAACAAGCCTCTTTCAAATACAAAATATATATATATATATATATTTACTTTAAAGAGAGAAATTTGACACAACAAAACGAAGAAACAGCACATGTGTACTTACTGCCACATTCTGCTCGAGAGATCTGTGGAGTTAAGGACAGAGAAAACAAAATGAAATGACCAGCAGAGGTCAGCATTGTGTTTAAAACAGCCTCAAAGCATCAACTAGAACCCCAACCACCTGTTCAATGTCACAGGATATCAGTCAATTTAGCAACCACTGATAGAACTGTTAAACAGGTGATGTTTCCTCTGTTTCTGAAACTACAGTCTTTAGTAACCTGGCCCTTCCAGTGAAACACCATGTGAAGAACATGAACCCAACATAAAGGTTTCAAAACCCTTTCCACACTCCCAGGAAATAAATTACAGTGGATTAAGAGCTGGATATCAAATCTCAACATATGTCGATCGGATATTTCCTGATTTGAATCATTTGTGAAGGGACAAACATGCTTATATTTCCCAAACTTAAGTACATATAGACACAGATATCTCACACTTAATTATTGATTCATTATGTGGGCCCAAATTTAAGTATATCAAATCTAAACAGGCTACAGGAATCAGCCTGGAAAATAACCACCATGTGTAAATAATTACAAAATCTAAACTTCTAATAAATAATTACTAACTTGAATTTCATATTGCTCTGAAGAGACACACACACACACAAAAGCTCAGTATTACAGGATAAACTCCAATTGTAACTGATGAAATGATAATAATTTTTGTGGTGCGTCAGTTAGTACAAACAAGGAAGTAGATCCTGGTAATACCCGACCATCGCTAATCATTCTGAAAAATAAGATCATGCAATAACGTACACGGACAGACAACTTCCTCTCCACACAACTTCCTGTCCACACAACTCCAACGCTGTATTTGGTTATCATCTGTGTCCTGATATCAGGACTGAACACACAGCTCTGACTCCACATTACTTATTAGCCAAAACTCAAGCAGCACCGAGTCACTCAGTGAGATGTTGCCTTTCAGTCTGTTAACCACGCAGCTAAACATTAAACACATGGCATCATTGCTCAAACATGCATCGTTCTCTCCACCACAAAGATAAACGCCAGGGTCAATGATTGAATCCCGATGATGATGATAGCGTAGACTTAACAGCAGCCCTGCATCACACAAGATCACATCAGGTTGTACCTAAAATTAAATATGTCTATTTTAAATATTACACTAAACACAATGATATTGACTAATCGACTGTTCACTTTCTACAACTATCATGAAGGTAGGATTTAATACACGGCTGTTGTGTTAGACTGCCTTAGTTTTGGTTTGGTGTACCTGATAAGCTATAAGAAGCAGCTGTATTATATTTTTCCCTATTATTTAGAATGACACTTACATTGTAAATCTTATACAACATGCTTTGCAAATATTGTACTTAATTAAAGTCATGCAAGTGAAAGCAAATTAGAATTATAAATTTGATATCGAATAGAACAGAGTAAAATAGGTCTCGAAACTCAAAAAAGGTCAGACCAGGAAACCGGGAAAGAAAAGGTCTATTCTGCTTCAAATGTTGCCCCTTTCACCGAGCCGCTCCTGGAGACCGGCGTCCTCTCCTTAACTTTTCTCTTTCTATTCACAACACTGACCCTTTCCTTCCTTTCAGTCCTCTGGGACTCTATTCTTCTTTCTGAAGTACAGCGGTTCCACGCAGAGGTGCACGACGAGTTCAAGGGTTCAGTACTCTTTGAGGATCTGGATGAAGGCTGCCAGTGTCTGAGAACGTCAGCGTAACAGAATATACTGTCATCATCACCAAAAGTACATTTAATTTAAATATAATTCATGTGGGTGTGTGTTTTATTTTTTACGAAAGTCCTCTTGAAAACGCGACCAATCAACCATTACTTCCAACTATCCGGTAGTAAGAAAAAGCTCCTGTGATGCTGGGTGGTTTTTGTACATTTAGAGGAGGAAGAGCCTGTATGAGGAAGTATACGTATATCTGACTATACTTCTGCTGTTTGTACAGGGTGTCAGTGTGACTGAGCTTCACACCATCGCTCTGTTAGAGAGAGTGTAAACGGGGAGTGTTTCTCACTATGTGCAATTTAGTGACACATTTACACTTTCCCATCAGAGAAGATGTTTTTTATGATATAAGAGATTCCCCACAGTGATGAAGATCCCCACCGTCGATGGTTGAGATAGCCACATTAGTTTATTAACTCACAAATCCATCAAAATTCAAACTACGATCTATCTATTTATTTATTTATTTATTTATTATTATTTTTGACTTACAATAAGTTCTTAAAATGTATTTATATCTGTAATATCTGTCACTTAAAACTGTCAAAAGCTAAACATTCAATTCAAAGGGAATTAGATTAAGAACAAAATTCAGCATTGAATGAGAAAATAGGATTAAGAAATGAAATAATGTTTTTAATAAAACCTTATTCGTAAAGCAATTTTGTTCACAAAGTTAGAAGTGCTTCACAGAGATGAAGAAAAGCGAAATGCTATCAAACTTTTCAAATGTGACCTACAATTATACAAATCTGCCAAATTTACAGCTGAGTCACCTTGTGCCAACTTGGAGACGGTAAGCACTACAGTATGTGCTAAAATAAGCGACGCTGTGGAGAACAGTATTCAGTCACTCAGATTCATATTTACACAAAGAATAAGTCTGATAACTAAACACTCTATTTTGCCTTTCCTCTTTTAAAACAAGTTCAGAAAAGTAGGTTGCTGCAGCTTCGCGTAGTTAAACTTAAAAAACACAACACTGTTAATTTAAGATATGATTCAAAATGGCTTAGATGAGTGTCTGTAATGACGGAGGTCACTTGCATTAATGACCCACAGATAATAATTTTGGTCCTGGTCATAATCTTAGTGCGGGTGGTGCGGCCTGCAGATTTCACATATGGTTCATTCTTCCCGCTCTTCAAGCCCATTTTCAATGAAAGCAAGCAGAGGTCTTTGTTTAAAGTTTTTATCAACACGTTGTATGTGTCAGTACTAAATGTCCACTAACAAACTGCAGATACAGTAGACACGCTATGTTAGCTAGCAGGATGTAATGTTAGCTACAATATTTAGAAGGTTGAACATGTAGCAGCTAAAGACCCAGATACTTTTCTAAGGTGTTGGTAGAGACCAAAACAATACAAAGTGATGAGTAAATATTGGACTTCCATTAATCAGGTAGTCAGGAATGACTCCAAATGAATGGTAATATGTCTCCATCTTGTCTGGATGTGTAATGTTAGCTAACATGTTAGCTAACATTACACATCCATTACACATCCATTACACACACATGTTAGCTAACCTAATAAAGCAATAACAGACCTTTTTTCAGGGGATACATTTGAACTTATCATGACGGAGAAAGCACAGGTGTGACATAGAATATTAATGACGACTGCATTCCATTCAGGTGTGACAGAAAGCCATGCCAGTGAGACCGTATGCACAAACCACAGCCCGAGAAATAAAGACTCTAAATGGAGCGCATGAACACTACAGTTACGTTATTTGTTAAACTTGTTTTTTTCCTGCTATGACTTGTTGAAATTATAAAAAAAAAGGCACAAAAGTCAGACATTTTCAAGTCTTACATATATGTAACATGAATTGTATTATTGTAAAAAAAAATTACCATGGCTGTTTATTACATTTTGTTAAAATCTCTGTTATTGGTTGACTAAAGTTATTGTCACGGTGCTGACATAAAGTGGAACTTGCTTATTACTCTATTTGACTTTAAAGAGTTATAAGTCATCTGTTTCAAGTTGGATCAGTGTGTTTTCTTTTGGTAACTCAATACCAGATACTATTACCTTTATACCTCAGTTGTCACGCAAATATTAAAATACTATATATAACATGGACAATTGAACATCTAAAATTTCATGACAACATAAACTCCATCTGCTGATGAAGATCATTTGATCTGATCAAAAGCTCCAGAACAGTTACCAATAGGACTTCGTGGTGAGATTGTTTTCTCAACTGTTGTTTCGGAGGTCAAGAATGAACACTTCAGCTCGACAACAGATACATTTAGTGTTTGGTAGGTGTTTATATATAGTATGTGCGGTGAAAGGCATTTTAATTTAGTGGTATATATACACTTAGTAAACACACACAACTAGCCAAAGTTTGAACTGAAGAGCAGCTGTTGCTGGAATGGATATAAAACTGTTTGCTATCTGACAAACTAAACCTCCTCAAGCTCCACAACAATATGGTAAAGGTCACATACCAGCGTGTGAAACACAAGTATGACAATCTCATGTTTTCAGACAAATATTCATGATAATCTGACCTCTGGGGATGTGATTTATCTGAGCTATGATTCCCAAATGTTTTATTGCCCTTGGCTCTCTTCCTAAGTATCACTTATTTTCCTCTTGACTAAATAAACAAAACAAGCCATTATGCCTTGGCACTGACTCAGAGAGCAGAAATAACGCAAACTCAAAGTCCCATTTGGAAAGTACTGCCCTCGAAATACCGAAGTTCAGATAATGGACGTCATTTTTTTATGCATCTACTGGGACTCAGCTCCGCCCATCTGTACATCCTCCGTCCCTGCTTTAAGCTCTAGTCTGTCTGTCATCTCAAGACCTCATAGAATTCATTATGGTGTTAGAGATAGCCTGTGTGTAAAATCACTAGTAATATCAGTTTATTATTATATGGACGCCACTAAAAGAAAGAGATTGTTATTACACACATAGTCGGAAGTAGCGCTGGGCAATAAATCAATATTATTGATATTGTGATATGTGACTATATATCATTTAAGATGTAGCATATTGTGAAATCTTAATATGGCATAAGTGTTGTCTTTCCTGGTTTTAAAGGCTGCTTTACAGTAAAGTGCTGTCATTTTCTGAACTTCCCAGGCTGTTATTATTTGCCTTCATCCACTTAGTCATGACATCCACATTACTGATGATCATTTATCAAAAATCTCACTGTGTAAATATTTTGTAAAAGCATCAACGGTCAACCCTACAACATCGATATTGAGGTATTTGGTGGGAAATATCAAGGTACGTGATTTGTTCTCAGAAGGTTTCCTTTA